CCGGGACGCGAACCGCAGTTGACTACGTGGGAGTCCAGCAACATAGCCATTACACTACCTGCTGGTTCCTGCTACATAAAGGGCCATCTCTTTTTTTTTTTTCAAAGAATTATTTATTTAATTGTATTTATTATTATTATTATTATTATTATTAACTATTATTATTATTATGAGTTTCAAGCTACCGGTCCAGAACTCAAACTATAGTCGACCATGTGGAAATCCAGTAATGTAACCATTACTCCATTAGCTGGTCCCTTGGATGGTTTTTAAATATGTGTACAAAACTGGCCAGAATGCTCTGTGAAGGCAAATACCGTGTTACATTCCTTTTCTATAATCTTTAAAGTGATAGATATTGAGGTCAGCAGGTGGCATAGTGGTTAAGGTGCTGGACTCCCACGTGGTTGATTGCAGTTCGAGTCCCGGACCTGGCAGCTTAAAATTCATGCTGGGTATGTGTGCATGAGTATCCAAAATCCCAATAATAGAATGGAGCATATGGTATTTTGGCCTGGCCATCCCCTTTGGGAGGTGATTTCTCATTTTCTCTCTCTCTTTCTCTCTGACAAGTACATATGCCCTATAGCAAAACTCTCTAAAAATAAATAAAACAAAATGGTGGATGTTAACAATTTTATGGAGGCATAACTTACATACTTACATTATGTACTTAAAATCACTCATTTTAAGGACCAGCAGTTGGCATAATAGTTATGTCACTGGACTCCCATGTAGCTGACTGCAGTTCAAGTCCCAGACCCGGTAGCTTAAACTCACACCGGGCGCATGTGCATGTGTGCCCAAGATCTCAAGAAGAGAATGGTGGAGAAGGGATTGCGGCATGGTCATCCCCCCTTGGGGGTGATTTCTCGTTTTCTGTCTCTCTGTTTCTGTCTTTCTGGCGAGCGCACACACACCCTATAACAAAAACCTCTCAAAAAAAAAAAAAAAGAGGGATGGGGGCCCAGCAGGTAGTATGGTGGTTAAGGTGCTGGACTCCAACATGGCTGACCACTATTTGAATCATGGACTTGGCGGCTTGAAAATAACGTTGGGTACATATGCATGCATGCCCACAATTCCAGAAGGTGAATGGAGAAAAAGGGATTGCAGTGTGGCCATTTCCCCTGGAGGAGTGACTTTTTACTTTCCTTCTTACTGTCTGTTTTTCTGGCAAGCACACACTATGGCAAACCCCTCCCCCCCCAAAGAAAAGGAAGAAAGAAAATAGAGACCAGAGGAGAAAGAGGAGGGAGGAACTGGTACTGAATCTGGGAAGACAGGATAGGACATTGCAGAGAGGGTGAACAGGTGATTATCTCACCTGCACATCGAGTTCTTGGCTTCTAGGGTCTTGCAGGAAGAACCGGAAAGCTTCCTCCCACACTGGGCTGTTGGTGCTATACACAGCCTGGAGAGGTGGAGGATGGAATTAAGAACAAATACCACAGCACTGTTCCGATTTCTCCAGAAAACCTGAGGACTACCAGTGATGTCACGGAGAGCCTTCATCCCAAGAGGAATCTTCATCCCTCGCACTGCCCCTCCCCCATACCACCTCCCCAAATGACATCCTGGTCCTCACCTTGCTCTCCTGGGTCACATCCTGAATTGACAGTTGTACCATGGGGTTGGGTTCCTTATTCCCCTTCTTCAGCTGTGGAGGGTAGAATTCAGAAGTCACCATCTTGGGTGTTTTGGTTTTTGTCTTGGTGAAGGAAGGTGGAATCTCATCCGAATCTTTTCTCTGAGGTGGATCTGATCCCCTCTATGCAACCCTTGTGTTACATGATGGAGCTTCTGGAGCAAAGCAGGCAGGGGCATCTGGACCCTCAGCAAGGGCGCTTGTGGGAGTGCTGCACCCAAGCTCCCTGTTCACCCAGCCATACTCACAGGAAGATCCTGGGCCCGATCCAGGTAGACAACTAAGATGGCAGCTGATGGCGGCTCTGGTCGAGAGGAAACACCCCGGTTCCATTGCAGAACCTGGAGTGGGGTGTTGGTCGTCAGATCCTAACCTCCCAACACCTACACTTCCAGCTACCCTTATCTCCGTGCCAGCTTCCTATTTCTCACGTGGCTTACCTGCTCCAGTTTTTCTGCACCTGGCAAAAGTGATAGCCATTCTAGCCTCAAGTGAACTTGGCCTTGCCCACCTTGTAGAGGGAACCACTGGAGGGGAGGTAGAAGAATATGAGGAACAGAAGAGATCAGACATCTACCCAACCACGTATCTGCCATGTAGCAACTATTATCTGTCCAAAGGGTCAGGTCACCCCCATCCTCCTCTTCCCTCTTCTTCCAACTTACATCATCCAGTACTCCTGCCTGTAATACCTTCCCTACATCCAGCTTCATTCTGAGGAGGCAAGAGGAGAGGATAGAGAAAAACAGGGCATGTTATAATTAGTAGTATGTCCGAGGCCCTCCATCTAGAAATAATTGGCAAATCTGACTCCCTCTCCTTCCGCTCCGGAGGTATTTCCATGAGAATGCACATGTGTTGTAGGGGTGGAGGGTAGGGAAGGAAAATGATATATGACCCTGAGGCTCAGAAAATGACTACAGTTAGGACCAGAAAATGGCATAATGGTTATGTCACTGGACTCCCATGTAGTAGAATGCTGCTGAGTCCTGGACCGGGCAGCTTAAAACTCACACTGGGCCCCTGTGTGTGCATCCCTAAGATCCCAAGAGGAGAATGGAGAAGGGATTGTGATGTGGCCTCAATCCACAGGGATTGTGGTGTGATTTCTTGCTTTCTGTCTGTCTCTCTCTGTCTGGTGAGCATACATGCCCTAGAGCAAAAATCTCTCTCTCAAGAAAAATGAAAAAAAAAAAAAAAAGGCTATAGTTACCTCTGAGACCTCATAACCACTGGGGCTTTAGAATCCTACAATAGGGGCTGGCAGGTAGCATGGTGGTTAAAGGTGCTGGACTTCCACATGGTCAACTGTGGTTCAAGTCCTGGACCTGGCAGCTTGTTTTCTCATTTTCTCTCTCTTTCTCTCTCTCTCACTCTCACTTTGTCCCTCTCTGGTCAAATTAAAGTAAATAAATAAAGTTAAATGAAAAAATATTCTAAAAAAAAAAAAAGAAGAAAAAGAATCCTACCATAGGTAGAACCTCACCTGCCCAGAAAGTCATCTTTATCTGGATCCTTGTCAAACACTTCCACCTCAATCTCCTGCCCGGGGACCTCATGGACCATCACCTGGCAGACACAAGGAAAAGGGTCTCATGGATTGCAACTTGTAGGCTCGATCATCTAATCAGATCTTTTCTCACAACCATGGGGACCTCCCCATTTCCAGCAGCCCCGCTTCTCAGCTCTCTCACCTCGTAAGTCTCTCCCCACTGGGGGTTGAGCTCCTCATCGATGACACGACTGCAGAATGTCTGGGTGCCCAAACGCACAAGTGCATAGGGGTCTGACTTGCCCTCAATCAAGCCCTTCACATATTTGTCCTTAGAACTCAGCCCTCGAGCAGCCAGTAGGTGAACCCGAACGATGCCCTGGAGGTAGGAATCCTCTGGTGAGAAACCACAAACCAAGCACAGGGCTTCTGAGAGAAGGGAGTATCTAATGCAGAACATGCCGTACCCTGGGCAGAGGGGAACGCAACTGAGCCACATCTTGAAGGTCAGGCACAAGGGGCACCAATAATCGGTTGGGCAACACGAGGAAGGCAGCGATGGAGTCCATGATCATGGTGTCAGAGAGTGAGCTGAGTGAGGGAGTAGAAAGGAGTGGGTATGGCCCCAACTTCCAATTTTCCCCCAACCTCAATCATATTTCCCACGTCCAAGCAAGGCCTAAAGCTACAAGGAAGTCCTCTCCTTCTGTTGTTGATTTTTAAGATTTTTTTTATTATTTAACTTTATTTTTATTTATTTTAATTTAAAATTTTTTTATTTATTCGTTCATTTATTTTTAATTTGACAGAGAGAGACACAGAGAGAGAGAGAGAAGAATTGAGAAAGCAAGCCACCAGGTCCAGGACTCAAACTGTGGTTAGCCATGAGTGTCCAGCGCCTTAACTACCATGCCACCTGCTGGTCCCTTATTTATTTTAATTTGACCAGAAAAGGACAGAGAGAGAGAGAGAAAGCAAGCCGCCAGATCCAGGACTCGAATTGCAGTCAGCTATGTGGGAGTCCAGTGCCCTTAATCACTATGCCATCTGCCAGCCCCTAACAATTATTTTATGTATTATTATTCTTTCTTCAAAGATTTATTTATTTTACTTGTTATTATTATTTATTTATTTATATTTAAAATTTGACCAGAGATACAGAGAGAGAGACAGAAAGAGAATATAAGAAAGCAGGAACCAGCAGTTAGCATAATGGCTATGTCACTGGACTCCCATGTAGTCAGCTGTGGTTTGAGTCCC